ATAAATTATTGAAAACAAAAAAGTGAATTTTTGCTCAGGAGCAGGTTCTTCTGAGAGAAGAGACCCAATTTTTCATTCGGTGTGATTTTCTTTGAGCTATTTCTGATTTGTCTTAAATATCATAAACATGAAAATGTTTAATTAGTTCAAACTTCAATCAAACATTATTAAAACAATAAATATTTAGAAATTATAAACCAAATGTCTAAAAACAAACAAAGGTCTAATTTGAAGAGAATAAAGTTTTTCTGTGTTGACTGATGTAAACACGTCTGTCAGCCTGTATGAGCTGGAGGGTTACAGAGCACCTTATCAGGCATCTCTTTGGTTCAGGGTATCTGCAGGTTTAAGGGAGCCAAATTTAAGACTTTTTTTTTAAATTAAATGTAAGTTATAATTTCCAGCTATTGCCTGGAACTGGTGCTAACCACGTCGTGAACGTGGGATTAACCATCGTTACCATTAATGTTGCACTTCCCCATGGCGCAAGCTCCCACTAGCATGCTCCTCTAAAAATAGGCCCCTTTCACAACCAACCGAATGTGTACAGTTCCGCTTACGCCAACATCATACACAAAAAATCCTGAACTAACTAGAAATTCATGAAAATTGTATAGAAATAAAATTATCTTGTTTATTGGATCTTTGGTAATTTAAGACCTTTGGAAACTGTATTTAAGGATTATTTGTCATTTTTAAGGATTTTTAAGGCCTTAAATTTGGAAAAGCAAATTTAAGACTTTTTAAGTACCCGCGGATACCCTGTTGGTTAAGCTCCGCCCCCCTCCTTCCTGACTGGCAGGTTCAGCAGAAACCTGCAGGATCAGGCCCTCGTCAACGCTGGAGTTTTCCTGAATCCTCTCTGAACTCTCTGACATCCCTGATGTTTAACCTCGGATTGTTCTCCTTTAAATCCTCCACAGGTAGACGGCACGTTTCGGTACCTTAGCACGAGTCAGAGGAGGATCTGACGTATACGTCCCCAGCGTTGCGACTCCACTTTGAAAGATGGCCCTCTGGAGCAACCCTTTAGCATGTGGAGAGAGAGTCTGCAGAATAAAGCGTTCAGGCCGTCAGATATTAGGACGAATGTAGCGTGACTTCACTGTTTGCGCTCCAGATTTAGTGGAGAGTTTCCCTGATGTTTAGCTACATTTGGTCACACTTTCATTTCCCAACATGCTCAGCTGCATAAGCTAACCAAAACGTTACATCTAAACCTAAACATTTAAATCTAAATGTTAAATCAAATCTGTGAGCTAAATCCTAAAATTAATCCCGCCCCTTAAACTTCCCAAGGCGTTTGTGGCCCCACGCACAACAGAAGGTTACCTGGAAGGACTGAGCCAGAGGCACACGGCTACGCGTCGATGGTTTAGCTCACAGATTTAGATTTAACAATTAGATCAGCCAAATGTAAACATGTTATAGGAAATGATGATTTTAGGGAAGTTCCATTTCAAATGTGAGGAGATAAATATGAAAAATGTCGGATCATTGTTTTGGACAAATATTTACACTTGGCTTTCCATAGCACAACTTAAAACCAGTGAGATTGGTGTACCAGTATGGATGCACTGATGCCTCCAGCAGACTCTCCAGCGACTGTGACGGCTTGTGGATCTCCGCCAAAGGCCTCGATGTTTTCCTGCACCCACCTGAGAGCCGCCAGCTGATCCAGCAGACCCCAGTTGCCCCTGGCGTGCTCATCTCCGGTGCTGTGTGTGTGTGTGGGAGGGGGGGGGGGGGGGGGGGGGGGGGGGGTGGGGGGTCACATGTTTCAGGCTTTACTGGATGACAATTCAGACGAACGTAAAGAGGACAGCCCCATCTCACCTGAGGAATCCCAGAATGCCGAGACGATACTGGATCACAACCACCACGATGTTCTCATACGCAGCCAGCGGGGGCCCCATCATGCTGGGAGGCTGCTCCCATCGTCAGACCTCCTCCATGGATCCACACCATCACCTGAAACAAACACCCGAGGACATTAGCTGACCTCACAGGCAGCTGCTAGAACATCCATCAGTGAGAGGTTTACAGCTTCTGGGGCATAGATGTAGTTTGTGGGGGTGGGGGGTGGGGGGGGGGCATGTCCCTCCCACCTATGTCCCCCTGCACTTTTTACCATCCAAAAACATTATTACGCTGAAACAATATTACGCTATATTAAAGACACTGGTTGAGCACTAGGACCAACCGTTAGAACCGTCCATAAGCTCTGCTCTGCTGAAACTTGCTAACGTGTGATTGGCCGTTCCTGCCACCTCAACAGTTCTGAATTCCTGACATTGCATAAAAGAGCTTCTAGGCTGTAGTTTCATACATATTTTTTGTATACTTACTGTAAAGACCCCCCCCCCCCCCATCCAATGGCACCCCCAAGGGGTGGCCAGAGGTGGCCATGGCCACCCCCTAGAAAAATTGCTGGCCCCCACCGCAAAAGCCAGTATTAATAAATCATATTAATATTAATGTTCACTCAAACCATACATCGATCTTATTTATTCAAGACACAATTGTAAAACAAAATCAAAATAATACAATTAATGAGTAAAGAAATGATCAGAATAAAAAGTACTCGTTTCTGCTGCTCACCATTTTAAAAAAGTTTTTATCTCCGTGGCTTTTTGTGAACACAGCAACAGGTGATATAAACTAAAACAAATACGTTTTAAAATAAAAGTTTAAATAACATTTTAAATGATTGAAAGTTATTTTTCTGAAATGTTTATTTGTAAAATTTAACTTAAATGTTTTTCATATGTTCTGTACTGTTTAAAAAAAATAAAAACAACTAAAGAAGCAATGCAATACAACGCCACAGGCTAAACTCTCCCAGAGTTACCACAAGGACCGGTTTGGTGTGCCACACCAAAGATTTCTCTGGCCCCGTCTGGCCACCCCATCAACATTTTCTGGAGGCGCCCCCCCCCCCCCCCCCCCCCCCCCCCCCCCCCAATGCTACATCCATGTTCAGAGGAACTCGTATTTTTATAATTTTTAGCACATTTTCATCCCATTTCCAACAGGAAACGTTTTGTTTTGTTATTGACTTCTGTGTCCTCGGATGTGAAGTCTGAGTTCTGCAGGAGAAACCAGTTTGACTTACTGGTAATTTGTCTCCTGTCTTTGCTTCAGCTGGAGCGTACACGTTCAGGTACAGACAGTCTTCAGACAGCACTGGGGGGGTGAACTCGATGGCCATTGTTCGGGAAACATTCACAATCAGTTCTGGATCCTGGATGCACCTGAGAACAGGCGAAGAGGAGGAGAAAGGATGAGCGTCATTCAGAGATACCTCAGGTGCGTTGTGTGGGATTCTTACATGGGGGGCTGGCGTGTGCAGTCACGTTCCTCCTCCCAAGGCTCGACGCTCTGGGGGGGAGCCAGGCGGAGGGGCCCCACCGGAGGCTGGGCAAAGGGGATTCCCAGGAACTGCTTCACCCTCCTCTCTGTGCCATCCACGCTCCCGTATTCTCCTCTGATTGGACCGTTCTTCAGAGAGATTGTGAGGTCATCGCTCCTTGCTGGGATCAGTGGTATAAAAAAACAATCATTTTGCATTACGGCCTTAAATGGAAACTCAAACAAAAATGATCCACGTATCTAGTGCAACCTATCCACATTATTGCTGGACCGGTTCACGTAGAAACGATGCGAGCAACATCCGGTGAGGTACCAGCAGCAGTGCGTAGCCATCGGTTTGCATGGTGAGGTTTCCTTTCTCGTAGCGGTTTATTTGAACATTTCAAACAGTGGCGGCTGGCCAGTAGAGGGCGATAGGGCGCCGCCCTCCCAGTTTTCCCCAGTGTTTTTAATTTTTGTTTAAAAAAATAAATAAATAAAATTAACAATAATCACATATTCTAAGTTAATTGTGTGTTTTGTAACAAAAATAAATCATATATATAAATATATAGCTATAATGGTCTCTGCTGGTCTCTGCCGAGCGGTGGAGGCTGTGGGCTGTGTTTCAACCGCCCAAACAGGACGGGACCAGCCGTCCAATTGCTGACAAGAAAATCAAAGGGTAGGAATGGGAATGTTTCCAATCAGCGTCGACGTTGTTTCACAAGCATGATGGGCGATAGAGCTACCGCCAAAGGCTTTCGTTGGTGTTCGGTAGAACTCGGCAGAGTCGTTTTTGGTCGTGACGCAGATGTAACATGGATGCCGCCAGTGATTTCAAATAGAATTTTTTAATTATTTGCTCCAGAAAAATGTAGTCGTGCAGCTCAAGAACATGTTGCACTGTTCACGGTCGTACTAACAACCAGAGAAAGTTAAATTTGTGGCTACAAGAGCGATGTTTGGGGCATGCACCCTGGAGTCAGAAAGAGTGTGGCTGTGCATCAGTGCATGAGGACCGGTCCTGATGCAGCTAAAACCCAGGCTTGGTGATGAGGAACGTAAGGCTCTGACTCGGCCCTGCATCTGCTTTCATAAGGTTGTGTCTCACCTCTTTCAACTAAACACAACCAGATTTATTACAACATGTACTGATGAGCCTCGGAGCTGCCTCGCTGCCGGACGCGACAGAGTTAAGGAAGTAGCTGCTGTGTGTTAGCTTTGGCTAGGTTTCCATGTCATCCTCCATCCCTCTAGGGCAATAGGCAGAGGAAGGTGTGATTCCCGTGGGCCATGTCATCCGTCTACAGTAAACAGGAAGTGGAAAGGCTGCAGATAGATGAGTAGAATAGAAAATCCCTTTATTGTTCCTCAGTGGGGAAAGCTAGACGTCACAGCAGCGATGACACGTATTACAGGAGAAAAAAGGAGAATAAAAAATAACAAAAATGAATAAACAAGAAAACATAAATCCTGAATAGATTTTAAAAATGCTGATTATACCACAAGTAATGAATACCACTGATGTGTTTTATTTGTAACGGACTTGCTCGTGTGTAATTTGGTTATTCCACATTCAGTGTTAATGCAGAAATAAGTTTGTTTCCAAATTTAAAGGTTCAAAATTGCATACATGTTGATAAAGAAAACGTGCAAATTTGCCGTCACTTTTTCAAAAAATATTAAGTTTGGCCCTCGACTCCGTCCCAGAGTTTCATTTCGGCCCCGTGTGAGTTTGAGTTTGACACCCCTGGTCTACAGTCTCCATGTAAACAAACACTGGTCGCATTCTTCTCGCTAATGATCTTAGGGGCGAGGAATAAGGTAGGTAACACCCAAATGAAAAATATCACAGTTCAAGAGGAATAAAAAAGAAATCCTGAGATGAATGAAGAGCCCTCCCCTACAACAATACTTTTAAACTCGGTCAGGGGAGAAATCACCATTTCCTTTTCAGACCGTGGTTGTGGTTTCCACCTGGGATCAGTTGTCCGGAGCTGATAGAAGACACCACGTTACACCAGTTCTCTTCACTGGTTGCCAGTTTAATTTAGAATTAGTTTTAAAATTCTTCTTTTAGTTTTCAAGTCCTTAAATGGTCCGACCCCTTCCTATCTGAGTGTGCTGCTCCGTCACTACCACACTCCTCATGCCCTCAGGTCTGAGGATCAGCTCCTCCTCACTGTTCCTAAGGTACGTTTAAGACCCGTGATGACCCAAAACTCTGGACCTCTCTGCCCCTCCAGGTCAGACAAGCGCCTTTAGTTTGGTTTTTAGTCCTTCCTGTTTAAATCTGGTTTTAGTATTAGGTCTATAGGTTTTTAACCTTTCCATTTTGATTGCCTAATTTTATATTTGTGTATTTTTGTGGTTTTAGTTGCCTCTTTGGTTTGAATTTTAGTTCTTTCTTTTTAACTTGACTGTCTATGTGATTATTTAGTGTGTTTTAATTGTACAGCGCTTTGGTGGGCTGTAACACTGTGTTTAAAGCGCTGAAAGTGGTATGGTATGGTATGGTATGGTATGGTATAATAATCAATGTGATTGGTGGAGTATGAAAAATAGCACAGACCATTTTCTTACTTGGAAGTGGAACTGACAGCAAACAACTGACTATGGGTTCAAGCCACTAGGTGTCCAGTGTTTGGTCCCTCCAAACCAGATGGAAGAACAAGGAGGAAACTGGTCAGAGAGGTCACCATCAGGCTGAAGGCCATTCTGAAGGAGGTAAATGGTAAATGGCTTGCATTTGTTTAGCACATTCTAGGGATCTATCTACAACCCCCAATGCACTTTATGACAGTCATCCACCCATACACACATGTGCTCACACACGTGTACACACACATGCACACACACACACACACACACTAGTGGCGTGTGAATGAGACACTAGCTTTTCATCTGATGTGTTCATAACTAAACATATTTATTTGATATTACTTCTTAATAACTTCTACATTCTACAGTGGATGTGATTTCACCCCGTTGCCGCCAGAGGACGTTTGATCTGAAATGTTTGTAGCAGCTGTAGCTAGCTGCTGCTACTTCCTGCTTTAGGGTGTTGATTTAACCTTGTTTAACACAGATAAGAAAGATAGATTTATTGAGTTTTGGGAGTTACGTAGTTTTGATACGTGAGAAGGTTCTGACTTACCCGTTATCTAGACTACCTATGCGGTCAGCGCTCATTTAAAAACGTAGAAATGCAAAAAGTGGTGTTTTATTTTGAAATAATTTACAGGAAGTGCAGCTTCATGTTATGTGAGCTTCATGTAAAAGTTGTAGTAACCATTTATTTCCGCTAGAGGGCAGTGAAGTATTATTCTCAAAAGCAGATATTAGAGGAATGAAAAGTTTATAAACAGTAGAAAACCAAACAACTGGGCTTCTATTAGTTAATGGTTGTTTTTTATGTGTTGGTTGAGTTTTATACGTTTATTGGTGAAACGCAATAATTTCTTATCTTAAAAAAATATTTGCTATGTCTTTATAATTGTGTGTGGTGTGTGTGTGTGTGTGTTAGATGTAGAAATATTAAATAATTTTATTTCTGACATGTTTGAGAAAATGCAAACGTGTGCCAGTCAAGAGTAATTATGGGTAATCTGCAGACACCATCAACATCTCTACTGTTGGATTATAGTTTAACCTGGAAAAACCTGACAGTCAGAAAGGAGAGGCATGCTGATGTTTAGATTTCTTTGTTTTCTTATTGATCTTTACCGTTTGTCTGAGATGTTCTCCATCTGTGTGACTATCTCTTATCTGACAACTTAGCCTGCTCAAGGAACACAATGGTATGCTGGTGATGGATCCAATAAGTGGCAGATTTCTGATTCAGAAACCCACCTGGCCTCAAATGTGTCTCAGTACACTTCTTTGTTACGTAACCAAATTCTAATTTATGTTCAGATTCTCTCTTGGTGTTTGAAAAAAGAATCCCAACTACACAAAAAAAAACATGTTTTTGTGTAGTTGGGATTCTTACAAAAACACATCCAAAAAATTAATAAATCATTAGATAAACAACAAAAATATAAGCTGACAGCAGCTGAAACTGAGCTTTATCTACCTTACAGACTATTTGTGAGTTCCTTTCTTCAGAATCTTCTTGAAAAACAGGCAAACCTTCATGTTTGGTCTCATCTTAGCCTGATGGCAGCTTATATCAGAGAACACGAAGGTTAGCTTTCATCCTGAGTTGTATGCTTCTCCTCCAAGGATCTTTTCAGTTCAGTTCTTCTGATCAGATGAACTGTTCAGAATCTGAGCTGCAAATTTGCAGACATGCAGTCCCTCTGCCGATCCTGTCACTGTGCCTCAAAAAGGGAAATAATGATTAAAATAATCTGTGCAAATTCACCTTTAATGTGAAAATGTCACATCAGTCACTTCTCTGACGTGAGTTGTTTATTTCAAATGTAGTTTTAGCTCCTAACTGGAAGATTATAGATGAGCTTGAACAATATTGAAGTGAGTTCTGAATTTTACATAAAAAAACAACAAAAAACAGTAGATTTTGTGAGGTCAGAGGCTGTTTAGAAACCCACTCAAATGCTGCAGCTGCTGAAAGACGTGAAACTATGAGCCGTTTATTTATTTTTTAAATTTGAGTCAAAGATCCCAGAGTTCATGCATCGCTCTGCAGGACCCAGAGTCAACCTGAAGGCTTTTCTTACCCGGTGGATGTGCTTTCACCGTCAGCACGGCGAGCAGGTGAACAAAGAGCAGCACTGTTCTCATCCTGACGAGCCACGGAGAAAAGACGGAGAGATTTACAGCGACCGCTCAGAGAAATAACCCTGCAGCCCCCTCCACCGGGTCAGAACCGCCCCTCCACTCAGATCCAAACAAAGCTCAGCATGTGACGACCGGCGTAAACGATAGAGACTTCATTGATTTAACCCCCATGAAGGACTCTGACCGCTGAGCCACAGAGAATCTCCTCCTGCTCTTTGAACACTTCAACTCTATGTAGCATCCTGCACACACACACACACACACACACACACACACACACACACACACACACACACACACACACACACACACACACACACACACACACACACACACACACACACACACACACACACACACACACACACACACACAGCACCTCTGAGAAAAAGGGACCAGCACCATGTGAAGACAAACGGTAAACAGACAGTTGTTTGGGTTTCCGACTCACGCTGCTGTCCGATGTTGTGGCAGCTGGAGGAATCAGTTTTCAGCCTTGCCCAAAAGAACGGAGTCAGAGAGACTCGAGTATTTGAGGAATTCAATTCCATTCAATTCCTTTTATTTATAAAGCACCAAATCATGACAAGAGTCGTCTCAAGGACCTTCAGACAGTAAACATTCCAATAGGGGTCAGTTCATTAAGCCAATCAGAAAAAAGTTTCCTATATAAGGAAAAAGAAATGGTAAATGGTCTGTATTTGATATAGCGCCTTCTAGAGTCCTGGAACCCCCCAAGGCGCTTTACAACACAACCAGTCATTCACCCATTCACACACACATTCACACACTGATGGTGATGAGCTACGATGTAGCCACAGCTGCCCTGGGGCGCACTGACAGAGGCGAGGCTGCCGAGCACTGGCGCCGCCGGTCCCTCCGACCACCACCAGGCAATGTGGGTTAAGTGTCTTGCCCAAGGCCACAATGACAACGACAGACTGAGCAGGGCTCGAACCTGCAACCTTCCGATTACGGGGCGAGCACTTAACTCCTGTGCCACCGTCAGCCAGCAGAGTGCATCGAGTCACCGACTAGTGTCAGAGTCTTTACAGCAATCCGCATACTAGTCAATCCCAGCGTTCCTCGACAGAGATCTGAGCCTCGTTCATTAGTTAAAAATGAATCTGAGTTGATCGTGGAGTTCCTCAGGGTTCAGTGCTTGGACCAATACTTTTTATTTTTTGTATCGTTCATTTGGGTCAGATTTAATAAACATCTGTGGTTATTCTGATGACACTAACTTTAATTGGCCACTTTTAGGAACACCTTACAAATAGCAGGCTGGACCATCTTTTACGTGTAGGTAAATGGTAAATGGTCTGTGTTTGATTGATATGGTGCCTTCTAGAGTCCTGGAACCCCCCAAGGTGCTTTACAACACAATCAGTCATTCACCCATTCACACACACATCCACACACTGATGGTGATGAGCTACAATGTAGCCACAGCTGCCCTGGGGCTCACTGACAGAGGCAAGGCTGCTGAGCACAGGCGCCACCGGTCCCTCCGACCACCACCAGCGGGTGAGGGGGGTTAACCCTCTCAGGCTCAAAATAAGTTTTGATAAAGTGACGAACAACGAAGTCCTTCAGGGGAACTTCTGAGTTAAAAAATGCTCACGAAATATGTATGTGGAGTAACCAGGCAGGTAGGTTTTAACGTTGTAAATCTGCAACGCCTGCCTCCAGAGGGTTAAGTGCCTTGCCCAAGGACACAACAGCAGCAACAAACTGAGCGGGGCTCGAACCTGCAACCTTCCGATTACGAGAAGAACACTTAACTCCTGTGCCGAGGTCACCCCTAATAAGCACTTTCCGAATTATTCACACCAGTCCATCGGGCGCCCATTCCGTCCCCATTTTGATGCTCAGTTTGGATTTCAGAGCGTCGTCTAGCCCAAAGGTGTCTGGTCCTGGTTCTGGAGAGTCCTCATTCAGCATATTTCAGTTGATTCTTCTCCAACAGGCCTGATTCAATGGTTGAATATGTTCAGCAACTCATCAAGCTCAGCAGAAGTCTGTTGACGACCTACTAATTAAAATCAGAAGTGTTGATGCAGCTGAGGCCCTGGAGGAGCAGGAGTGGACCCCACTGAGCAAGCACATCTGGAGGAATTAGATCCGGATGTTTAAACAATTATCTTCTAATAAGTTTTGGAAGGAGAAATTAGATTTCCCCTTTTGTGTCATGACTTCATTAGCTCCCAGTGAGATCCAGAATGGAATTAAAACTCTTACAACAAACGTTAAACCTTCTATTAAAGAGGTTCTTGTTGCAGATGTTCCCCAAAGCGTGCCTGACTCTCAGACTGCAGCTTCACTTGTGGTTTCTAACCAGGCTTCCTTCTTTTGGCTCTTTGTTTTACAGAAGAAGGGGGAATTAGGTAGCGCTGCTGTCAGAAGCACCTCGTTTTCCTTACACAAGTCTATTTAATGTTTAAACACGGAGCAGATGTGACCCAGAGGTCAGGTTAGGAACGGTGTTTACCGTCCTACAATCAGCTGAAAACACGGTGTTCCACTGGGCAGAACAAACACAGCCAGCTCCTTGAACTTGTGTTTGACGCGTGCTACCGGAGTTATTCAGCATCTTTCTGCCACACGTTGGACTCAAAAAGCTAACCAGCTAAATGTTGCAGAACTGTACCAGAAGGGATCAAATGAGGATCTGACAAGCCTCTTCTGTTAGAAAAGAGTTTTTCCTGCAGAAACATCACCAGGTCACATGACGTCAGCCATGTTTAAACTACCACTGATGTGTGGAAAAAACCTGAATCACCTGCAGGACGAGAGCTGGTGGGAACACCTTCTCTGGATACTCGGACATTAAAGGAAACAGATGATTCTTTATTTTTAAAGTTATTAAACAGCAAAGACACTTCCTGTGTTGTTAATGGACTGAAAACATTTTCATTTGAAACCAAATGATGATTCACTTATTTTTGGTGAGGAGATTTTTGTTATATTATATTATATTGTATTATATTATATTATATTATATTATATCATATTATGTTATATTATATTATTACATTATATTATATTATATTATATCATATCATATTATGTTATATTATATTATTACATTATATTACATTACATTATATTATATTATATCATATCCTATTATGTTATATTATATTATTACATTATATTACATTACAATACATTACATTATATTATATTATATTATATTATATTATATTACATTACATCACATTATATCATATTATATTACATCACATTAAATATATTATATTATATTATTACATTATATTACATTACATTACATCACATTACATTATATTATATTATATTATATTACATCACATTACATATATTATATTATGACATTATATTACATGACATTATATTATATTACATTACATTACATTACATCACATTACATTACATTATATCATATTACATTACATTACATTATATTATATTACATTACATTACATTACATCATATTATATTATATTATATTATATTATATTATATTATATTATTCAATTCAAAAATACTTTATTAATCCCAGAGGGAAACTGACTCAGAATAATAATTATAATCAAGTCATCAAAGAGTTATTGTATATTACAATGGCTGTTGGCAGGAAGGATCTCCAGTAGCGGTCAGTGTTGCAGCGAAACTGAAGAAGCCTCTGACTGAAGACACTCTTCCGTTGTCGGACAGTCTTGTGAAGAGAATGCTCAGGGTTGTCCATCATTTTCTTGATTCTCTGGAGAATCCTTCCTTGCATTATCTCCTCCAGTGGTTCCACAGTCATCCCCAAAACAGAACCAGTCTTTGTTATTAGGCTGTTGAGCCTTTGTATTATGTAAAATTTATTACATTACATTACATTATATTACATTATATTATATTATATTATATTATATTGTATTATATTATATTATTTCACATTTCACATTTAAAACTTTGTTTTAATTTAAAACAGAGAAATCTCATGGTAAATGTATTATTTTTATTTTTCTGTGCGGTGTAAGCGTTTATTTTTAGAACATCACATTTCCTATTTGTTAAATTCTCTAAAATATCATTGTGATTTTAGTTTTGTTGACAGTTTTTGACAGTTCTGGGCCACCATACATTGAATAGCATCCACATGCAGAGCAATAGAAAAGAGTGCAGCTAAATATAAATAATTAGAACTCCAGATTCACCAGAGATTTTGTCATGAGCCAAACTAAAATGTTGGTAATCTAGATTAATGACCCAAATATCCAGTAAAGCCAGAAAATCCAAATCCTCTCCCAGCTCTGAAAAGATCTTTTTATTTTAGACTCGTGACCCCGACCATAACTGGTCCAATTACTAAGTTATTGTTTTAATACATTTGCTTATTTGTATCTTTAAAAATGTTTTGTTCTGTACCCCACTCCTAGGACACCAGTGGGCTCCCACCAAAAGTTATATTTAAAAACTTTAAGACAATATTTGTTTCACTGGTTTACATGAGGTCAAGAGAAACCAGATTAAGGTGATGATGATGGTGATGATGATGATGATGATGAGGGGAAGGAGGAAGAGGAGGAGGAGGAAGTTGGTTAACAGGATAAAGATATCCACAGAGCAAGGAGCCATCATGCCTTTCTTCAGCAAACATTCTGGATCTGACTGAATCCTTCTGGAGTGAACGGAGCTAAAGTCTCTGGTCCGTCAGCAGGAGGAAGAAAAAAACTCACTAAGTCAAATAATCAGAATAATTTTGATCCACTTTTAATTTTTTTCTACAATCGCAAACTTTGATGAACATCTAACAGTTGTGGCTCTTTGTTTTTATTAGCTTTTATTTAGCTACAAACGATTAAATCTGCTCTGTGCCATTGCCTGAAATAAATAAATAATACAAATAATAATAATAATAATAATAAATCTCGATGACTGATGAGCACGTGACCTGATTGTCCCGTTTCTCTACTAGGTGATTTTAGGTGCATCCACTAGGTGGCAGCAGTGAACCTCCTCGTGCAGAAGCCGCTGCAGCAAATTCAGACCAAATGTCTGCCTTGGAGGCTGCTGGTGGAATTCCCTTCCTAGACAGAATTATTTTAGTGTTTAGTGTTTACAGCGGATCCATCCATCCATCCATCTATCTATCTATCTATCTATCTATCTATCTATCTATCTATCTATCTATCTATCTATCTATCTATCTATCTATCTATCTATCTATCTATCTATCTATCTATCTATCTATCTATCTCCTGCACAATTCATATTCAAATTCATATTTTAATCTTTTGTGGTTTTGTATGTAGCCCTATGCTTCTATCACAATCCAAATAAATAATGTTTGATTTTAATAAAAATGTTATTAATAGGCTAGTTGATGCGGTTTTATATACAAAATAAATTTATGTATTTTTAATTAGTAAAATATTTTATAGATTTTACTTTTATTTATTTACATTAATCTATTTTTCTTTATTTTAGTTCTAGAGATTTATAAGAGCTGTGTTACTTAGTACTGAACTCGACCAATAGGAGGAGAGTGCGTACCTTTCGTCAGACGCAGGGGGCGTGTCCTGAGCGCAGACCCCGCCCGCGCCGCCTCGGTAGTAGCGGAGCTGGCTGTAGCGTTGTGTCTCCGCTGGAAGTTTGTCCCTGTACCGGCTCAGAGACCGAGCAGGCGGACCCGGGGGCGGACCGGCCAGAGGAACGGACAGAAAACAACAGCAGCCAGTTCTCTGAGCGCCTCACTGCTGATAGGTTTATCAGCGCGAAGCTTCAGAAGACTGAAAACTCCCGGAGAGACCGCAGGCGGCTACACGGAGACGCGTAGCTCCGCAATAACGTTAGCAGGAGACCGGAGGGGAAAGGTGAGGCGAGCGGCCACAGGTAGACAGCTGTCAGCGCCGGACCCACGGTCATGCGGATTTCCGCGGCCGGACGCTGATCGCAGCGCCGCGTCGCAGCAGCAGAAGAGCCGAAGAAGCAGCGAGCAGAGGCGGAGAAGCAGACGGCGTCGGTGCCGCTCCGTGAGCCCGTCCGTCCGTCCCGCAGGAGCAGAGCCAGCATGTCCCGGAGGAAACAGAGCAAACCCCGGCAGATCAAGCGTAAGGACGAGTCACGTTCATTACTTCCTGTAGGGTTTTACATGAATGTTCCGGGAATTACCTGGAATTCTGCTGAGCTCGTCAGAAATGAGTTAATAATTCTCTCCCTGCGAGCGCGGCTCTGCAGGAGCAGGAAAACTTTCCATCTATTCCCTCCTTGTGAGGAATGTTTTTGTCCATCGGCAGCCCAACGTGTCGCGCCGCTTCCTGTTTAATTCTGTTGTGGAAACGTCAGTGTTCTCTGAAAAGGCTGATGTGAGGGGAGATAAAGCAGCGATCCGATGTGAGCCGAGATAAATATTAAAATTGGATCTTTTTTATTTGTTTCCAGTCTGAGTCCGCCCCTGGCTTTTCACTTCTCTCCCCCAGAGATGGGGGCTTCTGATAGGCCTGCACGGCTGATCTCTGCCGCTGATAGCTGCTCACAATTGGATCTTTTTTTCCCATCTCTCCTTTTAACTCAATAATGCATCTCGGGGCCGCTTGAAAGGCTCTTTTTCTGGCGCTCGGCTGCTCTCTGGGCCTGACGAGCTGTTCCTGTGTATAAAACGCGAGGTTTTATCAGGTGGAAACTGATGTTCAGCGCTGATACAAACACGTATTAATAATGTTGGCTTCTGGACTCAGACGGGTCTGCTGCTCTGGGCTGAAGGAAAAGTTTGCAGCTGCAGCTGGAAGGTCTTATCGGGCTGTTTGGCTTCTTCATGGTGATTGTGTCACCCTGTCCTCAGAAACCTCCTGCCTGTTGGCAGCATTTGGAAGTTTAGTCTGCATGATATCACCTCGCAGAAATGCTGTTGTGTGTGAGATCAAGGAGGTCTGATGATGCTGATCAGATCCTGGCTGCAGCAGGTGTCCTGAACATGTAAACAAAGAAGCTTTTCACTTTTTAAAACAGCAGTGTTAAAATAACGTTTTAAATAAAGTTATTGGAAGTGAGATTTCGTGGAAATTACTGAGCAGAAAATGGTTGCTGTAGTAAAACCACTAATCTAATTTAAATGTTTTTTTTTTTGTCCCCCTGAGAGATTTCACCTGCTTTTTCAAAATGACGAGTCACAGGTTTAATCAGAAAATTCAGAAACATTTCCCACAGACCAACGTGACTTCTGTAATGTCTCCTTTTCAATCAGATCCTGGAGATGTTGGGTTTCCTGTCACGTGCTTCAGAGAAAAAACTTCACACGTAGAGAAAATATTAAACAGATATTTCAAATTGGCTAAATTATTTTTCTGTTAGTAGATTCTACTAAACCCTACAAAACCAGATGGATGAGTTCATTTAAAACTCTTATAATAATAATAATAATAATAATAATAATAATAATAGTAATTCTGGCTTGGAAGTGAACACAAGGTCATTTATTCTAATTTTATCTATAAAAGAAGTTTAGTTTTTTTCTAAAAGTGGTTGAAACTTTAATAAAATCAGAAATTGGAGTGCGTGACTATCGCTTCATCACAAATGTTTTGTAGTTAGTAAAAAAATAGCAGCAGATTCATGAATAGCACAGATAATCATCAGTTTCAGGTCTGCTCTGTAGTATTACTGTTTGGACAAAGATGTTTTGTGTAAACGAGATGTGTTACTCTGTGTGGGAAAGCAACAGGCTGTTGTTCCACATATTATCTTGTTTTTTGGAGGTTGTTGCCCTAAAAACTCTCAAGCCTTTAGGATTCTGAGCAGTGAAGTCATCTCCAGACAGGATCACTTTCAAACGCTCTATTTAAATCCTGCCAACACACTTCGGACACTCCGCTCTGGGTCAACTTATAATCTTATTGCAGTTTATTTGTAACATACCAGTTTTGAACCACTGTTGTACTCTTGGCTCACAAATGAGAATTATTTTGGTTTGATGTGATGCGAGAAAACTTCGAGAGTTGTTCAACAAAAGTAGCTCGGGGGGTTGACCCGTAAGTGTCATATCGGTTTTTTGTGTGTAGTGAAATTAAAATCTTGATTTTGATCACTATTTATATTTTTAAACAATAACTTTTTTGTTGTTTGTTACAAATTTCCAATGCTGAGCAATTCAGCGACTCTGCCCTAAAGCAAAAACTAAACTAAATAATGTTTCTGACAAGATTTTAATCAATTTGTGCAAATTGGTGACAAACAGTGCAGCGTATCCTTCCTACATCAACAACACAACGCTGAGAAAACACTTATTTAGGAAGAATAAATCTTATTAATTCTGCAGAAATGCTAAACTGCATCAGAATTACCCACATGTCATCACTGGCAGCAAAATACCTTGTAAATCATTTTTTTCTAGTGATTTCCATCCCTTCTCGTAACGAGAAGCAGCAGAGTGATAACATTAGCTGCTGTGTGCTAACAGGTGCTAAAAATGCTAACGTATTTCCGTAAATGGTTTGAAGTCTTGTAAACAGAATGAAACTAGAAAATTGTTAAATTAACACATATTTTGGTTTTTTAAAGGTTCTTTCGTGAAACCAAAGCATTGATCAGGTTTAGGGTGTGTCACATATAAAAGGGTCCGGGTGGAAACACGTCATCTTAGCGATGGAAGGTAAAACTGTGGTATTTTTGGCTTTCGCTGTGGTCCTTCAGATCAAAATTTTTATCACATCTGAATGAGCTGGCTAATTTCCACCATGTCAGTTGATCTAAACATCGACTCCTTGAAGAAATGTTGGAAAGACGAACTATGAAGATGAAGTCAGTGACTCGGTCTTTCGTTGAAGATTTGAACGTTGTTGAAAACCAAAAGTTGGTGCAAGGTGTTACTGAGCTCTGATGGATGTTGTTCTCTTGCATTCGCTTCACCTCTGATCCTGTTTGCCGTTCAGAGACGATCAGAAATTTTATTCTCGTTTTGTCTTTGATCAGGAGAACTTGGATGTCGAGAGCTGCAGTTTTGTGTTCTTCTCACAAACCACATCTGTACATCGCATAAAGTTTTGTTTTTGCCTCTCGTCTCGGTGATCAACACAGATCTGTGGAGATCACCTAGGTGTCTGCTGCAGAGTTTGTGTTACGTTCATTCCCACCGGGTGACTTTAATGCTCTCATCCCTGAGGAGAAGAATAATCATTAATGGAACTTTGTCTGATTCTACCGTGATAGCTAGCGCTCGTAGCCTAGCTATACTAGTTTACTTGTTGCCCAACAAGCTAAAACACCAGTGTGCTGCCATGTTGAAGGGTTAAACCCATTTTCTGAGTGCACCCTTTTGTTCAGATGAAAGCTGTGATAACCTGGGAGATTAGAGGAGATATGCGACATCGATGCCTAAAAATGTGCTTTCTAAAGTCCTTTAGCGTCTCTTTTGACGGTCCGACTGATGAAACTAGATCAAATGTGACACGTTTCTGTGCAGCAGGCTGTCTGCGATCAATAAACAGCATTGATTAATCTCTTTGTATTGATTGATGATCAGGAAAAACCTTTTCTATGCAGATGACATTCTGGTGTTCCCATTCACATTCTGGTGGCATTTCTCTCAATCACATTCTTATGTCCAGTTTTTTGTCGCTTCCTGTTTCTGTCATGTTGGAGCGGTCGTGAACTCCCAGCAGGCTCCAGTACATCCAGCAGTGAGGCCTGCAGATGTATTCCAGAGCCAGAGGCTGATAAACTCGGCTGAGACACGACGTGCGTGAGTCAGTCTCCGGGGTGTCATGGCCGTCTTTTATCAGTGCCTCTGGTCCGCCGTGCTTCCCCCGTGCACCGGCCAGCGAGATGAGGGCGAGGCGGGCCAGGCTCTCAGCCCCGTGACTCTCTTGTGATTCGGCAGACATTTTGATAGGAAGCAGTTTGATAAGGACTGTTTGACTGGGATGTGCTGAGGGGGTTTAGCTGAGGCGCGGGCTGCTCTTACTCGTTATCCATCGTGTTGTTTGGAGTGGGCGGAGGGCGGATTCCGATATGACAAATTCCATCCAGGTCACAGCGTTGTTGGGTCAAGTTTCAGTGTCCCAGTCCGCACACCCATGCGGTCTCACCGGTTCACACACACACACACACACGTGGCTTGTTGTTGCTGTGCATCCAGAGCTGAATACCACCATGTCACCTGCCCTGGACAGCTTAGGATGCTTTGAACTGCTTTGACTGGATTTGACTCGAGTTGAGTGATTAGAACTAGGAACCAACCCGGCTTTAATGTTTAACAGGACTTTGGTTGCGTGCAGAGGAAGTTCTGAACCGTTTTCTTTTAAACTGAATTGTTTCCCTGAAGAGAAGCTGCACAAAAGCCACCTCTTCATTCAGTTTAGTCCCCGTTTCTGACCGAGGCAGCGTGTGTGCTCACGTAGAAATGAGCAAAGTGGTCGAGTGGAGGACTAAAGAAGAAGAGTTTGTGTGAAAACGCTCTCCCCAACAGCTGATCTGTATCTAAAAGTTATTTTTCTAGAACCAGGACCACACGGGTGTTTATAAAAACATGATAATCTTCTTGCTTTTTTTTAGAGGAACTGCAGCTGTTTTGGTTTCTCAGCTCTGGAGCTTCCACCAGCTGATCAATCAGTCTGATTTGTTTACATGTTGATGTTTTCTTTATTCCAAACCAGCTGGTGCTTTTATAGACGAGAGAACAGAAACAGGAAGGTGCTGAAAGCTGCTTTTAAATGTCGGAAAATCCCCGATTAGTCAAATTTTCAGAGTTTGTGACACAAGCTGAAAGTAAACGATTAAACACTAGAAGCAAAGAGATTAAAACAGCAGTCTTTTTATCCTTTTAACCAACTTTTCTTTTCCCAACAACAATGGATTAATTCCAGGGGCTCTCTGAAGGCCCAAAGTGGGGAGGAGAAGGGGATGTTTGTGCAGCAGATAGATATTTGTCTATGTCTCTTTGTGCGTCATCCACCATAACAGTTGGAGATCTTTCAGGCCGATAAGGTTCCCCTCCTCGATGGGGAGATAGCGGGCTGGCAGCCTGCTCCGCATAGATTCCCTGGGCTTATATTCTGGCGGTTGAGATGGGAGACGAGATAAGACCTGGCGGCGATCGCTGCAGCTGATAGCAGAA